TTTAATTTGTGGTTCGTGTCTTTGTTGGTTACAGGACTCTTAATAAGATGTGAGTTTTAATTTGTGGTCCATGTCTTTGTTGGTTACAGGACTCCTAATAAGAGATGTGTTTTAATTTGTGGTCCATGTCTTTGTTGGTTACAAGACTCCTGATAAGATGTGAGTTTAAAAAATTAAAGACAAACATAACCAATATTACAGTTAATCCATCTAATTACTACTGGGGTTTTGTATGTATATTTTATATATATACACATTTTGGGGTGTTTAGTTCTTTACGCTGGCCATCATAACAAACATAAATATGAAATTACTTAATAATAAACAGTATATGAACCGTAATGGTAGTGGACGATATGAAAAAAAAAGTCGCTAATTTAAGGTTTATATTTGCAGAAAGTTCAAATAGTGTTACTGTGTTGATTGTAATTAACAGTAGAAGATTAATTAGTTATAGTTTAATTTGCTCCTTATTAAAAGCCTTCTAACTGTTATTGAAATCAAGGCCGGCTACAAATTACTCACATAAAAAATGGGTTTTCTACTTTTAAAGTCACGGTAATGATTAACATTGTTAAGATCTCGGTGCAGTTTAATACTGCTAAGATCATTGTAAAGATTAATACTGTTAAGATCACGGTAATGATTAATATTGTTAAGAAACCAGTGAAGTTTAATACTCTTAAAGTCACGGTAATAATTAATATTGTTAAGTTCCCAATATAGTTTAATACTATTAAGGTAATGATTAATATTGTTAAGATCTTAGAGAAATTTCATAGTGTTAAGGTAACGGTAATGACTAATATTGTTAAGATCTCAATTAAGTTTAATACTGTTAAGGTCACGGTAATGATTAATATTGTTAACATCCTAGTGAAGTTTAATACTGTTGAGGTCATTGTAATGATTAATATTGTTAAGATTCCGATGAAGTTTAATACTGTTAAGGTCACGGTAATGATTAATATTGTTAAGATCCTAGTGAAGTTTAATACTGTTGAGATCATTGTAATGATTAATATTGTTAAGATTCCAATGAAGTTTAATACTGTTAAGGTCACGGTAATGATTAATATTGTTAAGATCCTAGTGAAGTTTAATACTGTTTGGGTCATTGTAATGATTAATATTGTTAAGATTCCAGTGAAGTTTAATACTGTTAAGGTCACGGTAATGATTAATATTGTTAAGATCCTAGTGAAGTTTAATACTGTTGAGATCATTGTGATGACTAATATTGTTAAGATCTCAATTAAGTTTAATACTGTTAAGGTCACGGTAATGATTAATATTGTTAAGATCCTAGTGAAGTTTAATACTGTTGAGGTCATTGTAATGATTA